CGGGTGTCCCGTCACGGCGGGAGCCCCTCTCTCCGCAGCAGCTTCGTGAGTGGTACACTCTGCGCTGGCGCCGTCCTGCAGGTGCTGGAGCTGCTGGAGGTGCTTCTGGGGCTGCTGGAGGTGCGTCTGGAGCTGGAGCTGCTGGAGGTGCTGCTGGTGCCGGATCTACTGGAGGTGCTGCTGGAGGTGCTGCTGGAGCTGGAGCTGCTGGAGGTACTGCTGGTGCTGGAGCTGCTGGAGCCGCTGGTCCTGGAGGTACTAGTGCTGGCGGTACTGGTGCTGTTGGAGCTGCTGGAGGTGCTGGAGCAGCTTGTCCCGGAGGTGCTCGTACTGGAGGTACTGGAGCTGCTGGGGCTGGTGGTGCTTCAGGAGTTGGAACTGCAGGTGCTGGAGTTGTTGCTACTGGAGGTGGTGCTGGAGCTGGAGCTGTTGGAGTTACTGGAGCTCGTGGTGCTGCGGGAGTTGTAGCTGGAGACCCTGGAGCTGAGGGTACTGGTGCTGTCTCTGCTGTTTCTGGAGGCGCTGCGCGGCCGCGGCCGTACTACGTTCCGCTCCTTCAGCAGGTTCTTGGTCCTCCTCCTCCTTTACTGAGTCCACCAACTGTCCAGTCACAGTCATAGTTACAGCCGGCCTCTCCACTGGTCCTTCTCCTTACTCTGGACCGACTAGAGGCCTTACGGAGCATCGTGAGCCTGAGTCACGTCCTGCGTCACCTGAGTCTCGTTCTGAATCGCCTGTCCGCGCTGTTCGCATTGGTCGTCGTGTTCCACGTCAGCAACCTCCTCCTGTCCCCGGCACTCACTCTATGACACTGCGTCCATCCAGTGCTCCACAGTGTGTCCCTCTGCCGTCTCCTCCTGCGTCCTCTCTTCCTGACGGTCCGAGCCTGGAGTCTGACTCCCTTCGTGCTGCTAGTCCTACTGTCACGCGCTTTCTGGCCACTGTTGTCACTAACCCTTCGTTTGAGTCCACCGCTGCGTCTGTTCTAGTTGCTGAGCTTGTTGACTTTGCTGCAGCCTGTCGTTTAGACTACGCTGCTAGTCTTGTTGCTGAGTCTGAGTCTTTGTCTGTCTGTCTTCCGTCCGTCGGGGGTGAGTGTGCTCTTGGCACGGTCGTCCTTGAGGGCAGACAGGAGGAGTTTGAGTGCTTTGCCGTTGCTTTACCTCATCTCGTGTCCATGATACTTGCCCCTGAGGGAGACCCGGATGCACCAGACATCCCGACCCCGCGCTCTTACGCAGAGGCGATAGAGGTTCCCTACTCCTCTCAGTGGCAGAGAGCGATGGACACAGAGATGGCTTCCTGGAAGTCCACAGGCACCTATGTCGACGAGGTTCCCCCGCCTGGGGCGAACATCGTCAGTGGCATGTGGATTTTCAGGGTGAAGCGGCCGCCGGGTTCACCGCATGTCTTCAAGGCGCGCTACGTTGCACGAGGCTTCAGTCAGCGACAGGGAGTTGACTTCTTCCAGACCTTCTCCCCTACCCCGAAGATGACCACTCTTCGGGTGCTGCTGCACGTCGCCGCTCAGCGTGACTACGAGCTACACTCGCTTGACTTCAGCACAGCCTTCCTACATGGCAGCCTGCACGAGGAGATCTGGCTGCGCCACCCACCTGGCTTCACTGGGTCGTTTCCTGTTGGTACCCTGTGGAGCCTCCGGCGGCCAGTCTACGGTCTCCGCCAGGCACCCCGTGAGTGGCACGACACACTGAGGACGACTCTTGCTGCTCTTGGTTTTGCTCCTTCCACTGCTGACCCATTGCTGTTTTTACGCACTGACACCACTCTGCCGCCGTTCTACGTTCTCATGTACGTAGACGACTTGGTCTTTGCTACTGCTGACACTGAGGCACTCGCCCACGTGAAGTCGGAGCTGCAGAAGAGACACACATGCACAGACCTGGGTGAGCTGACAAGCTATCTTGGCTTGCGGATCACCCGGGACAGAGCACAGCGCACCATTACCTTGACTCAGTCACACATGGTGCAGCACGTCCTTCAGCGCTTCGGCTTCACGTACTCCTTACCACAGTCCACTCCTCTGCCTACCAGTCACTCGCTCTCAGCTCCACCTTCGGACGAGTCCGTAGAGCCGAGTGGCCCATATCCAGAGCTTGTGGGCTGCCTCATGTACCTGATGACTTGCACACGACCTGACCTCGCGTACCCTCTTAGCCTTCTGGCTCGCTACGTGGCTCCCGGCAGGCACCGAAAGGTGCACTGGGATGCTGCAAAGAGGGTGTTGCGCTACTTTTGCAGTACGTTGGGCATGGGGCTCATGCTTGGAGGACGGGCTCGAGTTGTCCTCACTGGTCACGCTGACGCTTCTTGGGTTGACGACTTGGCTACGCAGCGGTCGTCACAGGGTTACACCTTCAGTCTTGGCTCTGGTTCTGTCTCTTGGCGGTCTACCCACTCTTCTTCTGTTCGCAGCTCCAGTCGTGAGGCTGAGATCTACGCTGGGGCCATGGCTGCACAGGAGTTACGCTGGCTCACCTACCTGCTGACCGACTTGGGAGAGGCGCCTCGTTCTCCTCTAGTTCTGTACGTCGACAACAAGGCCATGCTTGCCTTGTGTCAGGAGCACAGACTGGAGCACAGAACGAAGCACATTGTTCTGCGCTACTTCCTTGCTCGAGAGTTGCAGCAGCGTGGTCAGCTTCGTCTTGCTTACGTGGCCTCTCAGGCCAACACTGCTGATGTTTTCACCAAGGCACTTCAGCCTTGTGATCATCAGCGTTTCTGTACTGTTCTAGGCCTTGTACCTACTGTGCCTCACTTGCTTACTTCTTGACTCTGCTTGTACTGTACTCTCTATACATATACGTGCATGCTTACACTTGCTAGGTTGTGTTCACTGTATTGTTTGTTCTCCTTTATATAACTCTGCATGTGAACTGGCCTTGTGGCCATTTGCTTGTGCTCAGACTGCGTGGTGACTTTGTGATCCACCCTGAGCTTGCTTTGCCTTTCTTGACTGGTATTGTGACCTCTTGTTTTCCCCCACTTTGCCTATGGGGGTGTGTCAAACTTATATGCTATAGTCTATCTAGGCTGTAGTGGGGTAGTTCATATAGGGTACAACACTTTTAGGTTTCCTACTTGTACCCACCTGCTTGCTAGTTCAGTCATTCATTCATTCACTATTCTGACAAAAGCTGGATGTGCTTCGCCTTCCAAACCAGTCGGGGCTCCTCGCACAACAGGATAGCAGACCTGTTGTCAGCCAACAAGACTGGGGGAGAGCGAGTACGCTCACCAAGGTCGGTGAGGAGGAAAGACAGCCAGCAAAGCTCCAAAGCGGCCATGGCCGCAGCGTACACCTCAACCTCACAGCTAGAACTAGAGACGGACGACGCCCGAGTCGCCCTCCACGAAACAGCTCCGGTCCCACGGCGGACGAACAGCGACGGTTTGACAGACGTTAGAAAGAAGTCAAGCGCTGTAAGAGTCGTACGTAGCGTGTCGTGCCACTCGCGGGGGGCCTGGCGTAGGCCGTAGACCGGTCGACGCAGCTGCCACTGGGTCCCAAGAGGGAAAGTGCCAGTGAATCCAGGCGGACGACACAGCCAGATCTGCTTGTGTAGACTCCCCTTAAGTAACACGGTGGAGAATTACAAGGAGTGCAACTCGTAGTCGCGCTGTGCTGTAATATGCAGCAAAACCCGAAGAGTGGTCATCTCCGGGGTGGAAGCGAAGGTCTGGAAGAAGTCTACCCCCTCTCGCTGACTAAAGCTCCTCGCCACGTAGCACGCCTTGAACACTGGTGGTGCTCCAGGCAGCCGTTTCACCTTGTAGAGCCACATGCCACTGAGAACGTTCTCCCCAGGTGGTGGGACGGCGTCGACGTAGGTGCCTGTGGACCTATATGATGCCATCTCTGCCTCCTCAGCTGCTATCTAGTACGAAGCCCAGGGTCCCGAGACCGCCTCAGCGTGAGTGCGAGGGATCGGGATGTCAAGGGCGTCTGGATTCCTCTCAGGGGCAAGCAGCATGGCGCAGAGATGAGGAACAGCGGCCGCAAGGAAACCAAGCTCGAATTGCCTGTCCTCCAGGACCTCCAAGGGAAAGACAGGAGCACCCCCAGAGGACGGAGAACGAGCAGGGCCACTCACCAAGTGAAAAGCGTAGTCAAGGTGGTGGGAAGAGGCAAAGCCAGCGATAGTGGTAACAAGAGCTGAGACAGGCGACAGAGGTGCAGTCGGGTGAGTGACCAACACGGACAAAACACGGGAGACGATAGGACGGGAGGCATGGAGGTAGTCGGACAACGTGTCATGAAGTACAGTGAGGGACGACTCAAGAGGATGTGGAAGGACTAGAGGAGATGGAACACGAGAGCAGAGAACAAGGTAAAATGGACCGTCTGCACGGTAACGAGACCGACGGGGCCCTGGAGACACAGCACGACTAAGGGGAGAATGACGAGTCCACTGGAACGAGGACATGGACTGGACGGGGGGAACAGGAGGGGATGGTAGAGGGCCACGAACCAATCGTGCAGGTGCTGGGTCGGGCAGGTCGCGCAGTCGCCGCCGCTCTACCTCCTCTGGCGTCTGCTACGATGGTACCTGCCCCTGCTGCTGTGGGCGGGACTCCTGCTCGACCCTCTCCAGGTGCGACTGCAACTCCACCTGCTGTTGCACTCGTGAATCCTCCTCTACCCTCTTCTGCTGCGGCTGCAACTGCACTTGCTGCTGCAGTCGTGACCCCTCCTCTACTCTCTCCTTATGCTCCGACTGAGACTGCTGCTGTTGCTGCTACTACTGCTGCTGCTGCCGTGACTCCTCTACTCTCTCCTGACGCTCCGACTGAAACTGTTGCTGCTGCTGCCGTGACTCCTCCTCTACTCTCTCCTGACACTCCGACTGAGACTGCTGCTGCTGCTTCTGCTGCTACTGCTGCTGCTGCTGGTGGTGGTGCTCGTGCTGGTGCTGCTGCTGCTGCCGTGACTCCTCCTCTACTCTCTCCTGACGCTCCGACTGAGATTGCTGCTACTACTGCTGCTGCTGCTGGTGCTGCTGCTGCTGCCGTGACTCCTCCTTTACTCTCTCCTGACGCTCCAACTTAGACTGCTGCTGCTCCTGCGACTCCTCCTCTACTCTCTCCTGATGCTCTGACTGAGACTGCTGCTGCTGCTGCTGCCGTGCCCTCTCAAACCGCTCCCGCTCCTCCCTCTCCAACCTGTCTAAACGCTGCACTCGGGTCAGGAAACGTACAGTGCGCGGCGTAGGCGTTGCAGTGCTCGTGTCTCCGGCTCCAGCACCCCCAGAACCAGAACCTCCACTGACAACACCCCCAGGGACTCCAGTGCCTCCGGCAGGAACACCCCCAGGCTCCGCAGCGACCGGCCGCGGAGGCGATTTAGGAGGGAACTGCGGAACAGACGGAAAGCCAGGGGGTGCGGCGGGGCGAGGCCGCTGAGTCGAGACAGCCGTGTCCTCCTCAGAAGTGGTCTCCACTCTCACACCCCCTGCACCCCCAGAGCTGGCACGATGGGCTCCAGCAGCCCCAGTACCCTCACCCTCCGCAACTGCACCTCCAGCACCCCCAAACACGACAAAGACTAGACGCTGCAGGGGGGAAGACTGCGGAGTGACGTGCGACACACCTGACGGGGCAGGACGCGAAGGGGGTGTGGCTACCGGGGCGACTTGGGGGGGGCTCAAGGGTGAGGAACAGCGAGGGGGAAAAGGCCTTAGAACCTCAGTGGAGGCGACTCCTGTAGTAACTGACCGACTCGTCGAAAGTGACGTCGTGAGAGGCAAAGAACTGGTGGGTGACTGGGTCGTAGAACACCCAGCCTGAGGCATCGAGTGGGAAGTCGAGAAAGACGCAGGCACGGGTGCGCGCAGACAACTTGTTCGCGCTAGGGGCGCGAACGTGAGCCAGACAACCCCAGACGCGGTAGTTAGCTGCTACGCCCGGAAAACCTGTCCAAAGGAAGATCGGCATCACCCGTGGCCGTGCGTCACTAGGCCACAGGTTCAACTGGTGCGCGGCGTAGCGGACTGCCTGAGGCCACAAGAACTAGGGGGCACCGACATGGCACATGGAGGTCCGGGAAACCTCCATGACCAGGCCGATGCGTCGCTCGGCTACCCCGTTCTGCTGCGGAGAGTCTGGTAGCGTGTAAGACTGGATGATCCCCCGGCCCTGACAGAACGTCTCCAGGTGAGTGGAAGAAAACTCTCCATCACGGTCCGAGTCTAGACGGAGCCCACATAGGCCCTGGACGCCACCCCTCGCTAGTAGCCACGGCTCAAGGACGGTAGGCACGTCGGCCTTCCGTCGCAAGGGGAAAATCGTGGTGTAGCGAGAGTAGTCGTCCACCACAATCAGGAAGTAGTGCTCCTGACGTGGGCCAAGGACCGGGGAGAGGCCCCAGATGTCCAAGTGCAGGGTCTGTAAGGGAGCCGTGGTGGGGGGGGAACGAGGAGGAGTGAGGGGCAACACGCTGCCGACCCTTGACGCAGGGAGTGCACGACGGCGCAGGCGAGCGAGGAAGCGGGGCAAGCGACTCTAGGAGACCTGAGACCAGACGGTGACATACCATCCTACTGAGACGTGGGAACGACGGGTGACTGAGACGGTGGTGCCAGAGGACCGATGGGTGGGTGAGTGACCGATATTTGCACGACACAGCAGCTACCTGACCTGACCTGACCTGACCTGACCCAGTGTGGTGGGACCTAGTGTGTAGCGAGTATAGACCAGAGCCCAGCTCCCTGTGGAAAGTGGCTAGAGGTGCCCCAGTGGCACCGACTGTGCAAGAGGCAACAGGCTCGTGCAGTGGGAAAGTAGTGACAAATCCAAGGTCGTGGAGGTGACTAACACCTACCAGGTTCCTAGAGAACGAGGGGGTGTAGTAACCTGTGAGAAACCTAGAGGGAGCCGCTGGACACGGGAGAGTGGTGGTGCTCTTGGCAACTACAGATCCTACGGAGGGGTCAGCCAAGGCGATAGTGACTGGAGTGTGCAGTGGCATGAGGTCGGTGCAGTCGCGAAAGAAACAACTGGATGCTCCAGAGTCTAGGGTGAAGGAAAGCCGTGCAGTCGGCGAGGTCGCACCCGAGCCAGCGACAAAGGCTGGTACTAGTCTAGTGGTGGCTGCAGCTCCCACACTAAGAACCTCTGAGGCGCTTGGACCGGAAACTACACACACACCAAGACTGCAAACACAAGGCTCAATAGCAGTTGCAGCTCCCATGTACCGGTGTGTGTACTGCCCGGGTCCGTCAGGGCCCCGCTGTGGAGGTTGTTGCAGGCGCTGCAGCTGAACCCGCCACTGCTGCAACTGCGGCCACCTGTGCTAGCTCCAGGTTCAGATTCAGCTGGCATCCCGTCGCCCGTCGCCCGTCGCATCCCCTAGACGGGAGGGGAAAATCGACAATCGACGGGCGACGGGAGGGGAAAATTGACGGGAGACGGAAAAACGACGGACGACGGGAGAGCTGCGAACGACGGGCGCGCTACGGGCAATGTCAACGAGCCAAGGGGCGCGCGTTAGGACGGGGCACGCTCTAGTAGCGATTTCAGTGGGCCCAACTATCGAGACTGAAAACGCTAGGGGAAACCATAGCTAGGGTAAACCTAGCTCTATACCATGTTAAGAAATGAGAATGAATAGAAGTGGAAAGTACAAAAAGTATATTGGAAACCTAACCCAAACCCCAACAAGTAGAAAGTACACCTAGACAAACAATAGAAGCTATAACAAATATAGCTTGACAGATGGTGCGCCGTGCTCTATCCCGGGTGATCTGCAAGCCAAGATAGCTGCACAGCTCACCCAGGTCAGTGCAGGTATGTCTCTTCTGTAGCTCCAACTTCACAAGGGCCAGTGCCTCAGTGTCAGCAGTGTCAAAAACCAAGTCCTCGACGTACACAAGGATGTAGAACGGCGGCAACGAAGTGTCGGTGCGCAGAAACAGCGATGGGTCAGCAGTCGAAGGAGCAAACCCAAGAGCCGCAAGCGTCGTCCTCAGTGTGTCGTGCCACTTGCGAGGCGCCTGGCAGAGACCATAGACTGGCTGCAGGAGGCTCCAGTGGGTACCTGCAGGAAACGACCTAGTGAAGCCAGGTGGGCGGCGCAGCTAGATCTCCTCGTGCAGGCTGCCCTATAAGAATTTTGTGCTTAAGTCAAGAGAATGAAGCTCCTAGTCACGCTGAGCAGCGACATGCAGCAGCACCCGAAGAGTGGTCATCTTCGGGGTAGGGGAGAAGGTATGGAAGAAGTCAACTCCCTGTCGCTGACTGAAGCTTCGTGCAACATAACGAAGCGGCCGCCGGGTTCTCCCTTAATCGCCTCTGCGTAAGAGCGCGGGTTCGGGATGTCTGGTGCATCTGGGTCTCCCTCACATGCAAGCAGCATGGCCACGAGATGAGGTACAGCAGCTGCAAGACACTCAAAGTCCTCCTGCCTATCCTCAAGGACGTCCGTGCCAAGAGCACACTCACCCCCGACAGACGGAGGACAGTCAGACTCAGACTCAGCAACAAGACTAGCAGCGTAGTCGAGATGACAGGCAGCAACAAAGTCAACAAGCTCAGCAAATAAGGCAGACGCAGCAACAGACTCAAATGAAGGGTCAGTGAGAACAGTGGCTAGAAGACGTGTGACAGTAGGACTGGCAGTACGAACTAAGTCAGACTCAGGGTTCGGACCTTCAACAAGAGAGGATGCAAGAGGAGACGGCAGGGGAACTTGCAGTGGAACAGAGGAAGGACGAAGTGCCATAATATGACTGCTGTGGACAGGAGGAGGACGCGGACGAGTAACACGACGACCAGTGCGAACAGTGCGAACAGGCAAGGCAGGACGAGACGCAGGCTCACGACGCTCTGTAAGAGAGTCTGTCTGCTCAGCGTAAGGAGAAGGAGCAGGCACTAGGGAGTCTGGCTGTAACTGTGGCTGCGACTGGTGAGGCGGTCGACACAGTAAGGGAGGATTAAGGCCAGTAGAAGACGGGAGACTAAGAACCTGGCAAAGGACCGAGCCAACTGGCGGCAGAGACAACGGCGGTGGCGGAACGAAAAACGGTCGCCACTGCACAGTGCCTCCAGCACCAATACCGCCAGCTCCAGCACCTCCAGCGCCAGCACCTCCAGCTCCAGGGTCTCAAGCTCCAGCGCCTCCAGCTCCAGTGCCTCTAGCTCTAGCTCCTCCAGCTCCAGCGCCTCCAGCGCCAGCGCCTCCAGCTCCAGCGCCTCCAGCTCCAGTGCCTCCAGCTCCAGCTCCTCTAGCTCCAGCGCTTCCAGCACCAACGCCTCCAGCTCCAGGGTCTCCAGCTTCAGTGCCTCCAGCTCCAGGGTCTCCAGCTCCAGCGCCTCCAACACCACCAGCTCCGGCAGCTCCAGTACCTCTAGTACGAGCACCTCCAGGACCAGCAGCTCCAGCACCTCCGGTACCTCCAACTCCAGCACCTCCAACTCCAGGGTCTCCAGCTCCAGTGCCTCCAGCTCTAGTGCCTCCAGCTCCAGGGTCTCCAGTTCCACCGCCTCCAACACCACCAGCTCCAGTACCTCTAGTACGAGCACCTCCAAGACCAGCAGCTCCAGCACCTCCGGGACCTCCAGCTCCAGCAGTAACTCCAGCACCTCCAGCTACAGTGCCTCCAGCGGCAGGGCCTCCAGCTCCTGCAGCGCCACTCCTAAGGCGTGTGCGCCGAGCAAACCACTCGCGCAGCTGCCGCAGTGAGAGAGGCTCCCGCCGGCGAGACTGTCGTGGCGAGGCACCCGCAGGACCTCCGCTAGACGCATTACCCCTAGGCTCAGAACCCTTAGACTCAGCACCCCCAGGCTCCGCACCCTCAGTCTCAGCACCCCTAGGCTCCGCACCCTCAGCCTCAGCACCCCCAGGCTCCGCACCCGCAGGCTCAGCACCCCCAGACGCAGCACCCCTAGCAGCACCACCCCCAGCAGCACTTGAGTCTACAGTGACCTCGGCAGGCTCAGCCAGGGGGAGTGGGTCTACCTGAGACACACCTGAGGGAGCAGGACCCTGAGAGGGGAGGGGGTCTACCGGAGGGGGACCTGGAGTGAGGAAGAGCGGCGGGAGGGGGAAAGGGGCAGTGCGGTAGGGGAAGAGACGGTAAAAGGGAACCGACTCATCAAACGTGCCGTCTTGAGAGGGCAGGACACGGCGCAAGGTGGGGTGGTAAATCTGCCAGCCAGGCGCATCAGGGGGAAATCCAAGGAAGACGCAGGGGATAGCGCGAGAGGAGAGCTTGTCCGCGGAAGAATTGCGGACAAAGGCACAAGAGCCCCAGACCCGGAACACCGATGCATCGCCAACCTTCCCCGTCCAACGTAGTGTAGGCGAGGTCTCCGGCAAGGAGACACGGGGCCAGAGGTTGAGCTGATGCGCAGCGTACCAGACCGCAAACGGCCGTAGAAAATGTGGAGCAGCCGCATGGATCATGGAGGTACAAGCCACCTCCATGACTAAGCCAATACGGCGCTCAGCAATCCCATTTTGCTGCGGTGAGGCTGGAAGCGTGAACAACTGGAGGATGCCCTCCCCACGATAAAAGTCTCGCAAGAGGTCGGAGGAGAACTCACCACCTCCATCAGATTGCAGACGCAGGACAGGAAGGTCCTCGCGGAACCGCTCGAGGAGCTGGAGACGAACTGCGTGGATCCAAGGGATCAAGACATCAGGGACCTCACCCTTGCTGCGCAAGGGGAAGACTGTGGTGTAACGCATGTAGTCGTCAACAACCAGTAGAAAATAGCGCTCGCGGAGGGTCACTCAACAGCCAGCAGCTGTGGGGAAGGTGACCCTACACCCCCTGGACTATTGGGTGATTGATAGTGGCGCTACCTATACCATGACTGTGGTACTGTCGCGAAAGAAACAGCGGGAAGCACCTGAGTCAAGCGCGAAGGTGTGCAAGGCCTTAGCAGGCGCAGTACCTGGGATAGCAGACTCAATAGCACCTAGAGTAGTAGCCTCTATACCTGGGTCGGGCGGCACACACCAGACCTAAGCAGCTCTAGCCAGCGGGGGCGCTAAGCCTCGTCGCCAAACTCTGCGCGCCAAGCGTCGTCAAGGCTGGAGAAGCAGCGGTGCTGTGTGTGAAACTTCCCGCATGTCTGACCAGCGCGGTCACCTGTGCGAATGACATACGGGCAGCGAACACTACCCCCAGATGCCCCATGCTGAGCAAACCACTCACAAAGCTGCTGGGGCATAGGGGTCTCGCTCGGACGCTGCTGCTGCTGCCTCTAGCCATCGCCAGAACCTCCCCTCTGAACAGCTCCACCTCGACCGCCACCACTGCCGCTGCCACCACTCCCACTGCCGCCACCACCGCCACCACCACTCCCACCGCTGCCACCACCGCCGCCACCGACGCCCCCACTTCCGCCACCACTCCCACCGCCACCTCTGCCACCTCCACCGCCTCCATCGCCTCCACCACCACCACCCCCACTGCCACCTCCACCACTCTTGCCTCCCTTGCCTTTGCCGTTGCGGCGCTTCCCTCTAGGAGCAGAAGCAGCCCCGACGTCCTCAGTACCAAGGATGTCAACAGCAGCAGCATAAGCGTA